AGCAAGAGTGTGATAAGACAACAGCAACAGCACATGCAAAAGTCCTGGGGCAGGATCATGCCTAATGGGGTAGAAGAACAGAGAGGAGGCCTGTGCGGCTGAAGTAGAATGAGCAAGGGGGAGAGAGGGAGGAGATGAGAGTGATGAGAGGCCAGGGCACAAGTCAGCAAGCAGTTCAGGGAAGAATTTTTTTTTTTTTTTAGATTTATTTACTTATGCATACAAGAACTGGGGTACAGGCCAGAGGTGCGGGGGCGGGGGGGTGAAAGGATTCATCAGAGACAGTAGGGAACAGAACAGGCAGATTAAAACACTGCTGAGAGGAACAGCAGGCGAGACAGGAGAGGTCTGCTGCGCCATGTGGGTCACCTCCCTGGCAGGGGATTGAACTCGTGCTGCAGATAGCTTCATACTGCTGTGTCATAACCCCGTGCACCACCAGGGAGGCCCCAGAGAAGCATTTTAAACAGAGGAGGGGAATAGCCAGATTTCTTTGAAAGCTATTTTTTTTTTCTAAGATTTTATTTAGGGCCTCCCCTGGTGGTGCAGCGGTTGAGCGCTGGACTGCGAAGCTGCCCGCAGCCTCTGCAGTGCTGGTTCGATCCCCGGCCCCCGGTGAGGGTCCCACATGGCGCGCAGACCTCTCCTGCCACGCCCGCTGCTCCCCTCAGCAGTGTATTTCGTCAGTCTGCCTGTTCTGTTGCCCGCTCTGGTGAATTCTCTCACCCTCCCGCGCTTCTGACTGTACCCAGTACTTGTATAAATAAATAAATAAATCTTTAAAAAAAAATTTATACAAGAGTTGGGGTACAGGTCAGAGGCACGGGAGGGTGAGAGGATTCACGAGAGACAGAGTGGGGAGCAGAACAGGCAGAAGGACCAAAATACACTGCTGAGGGGAGCAACGGGGAGACAGGAGAGGTCTGCTCACCATGTGGGTATCTCCCCGGCTGGCAGGGAATTGAACCCACGCTGCAGAGGCTGCAGACAGCTTCACAGCACTGTGCTCAAACCGCTGCACCACAGGGGAGGCCCCTGGCCAGACTTCTACATTCAAATCTGCTCTGCTGCTGGGGGAACAGTCATGATGTGGGAAAGAGATCAGGGAGGAAACTGGGCATGTGGGCAGGTGAAAATCAGGGACAGAGGGAAGAGAATCGCATGAGGCAGTGAGCAGGCAGGACCTGGAGTAGGCTGGAGCTCTTGCCTGGGTGCTCCCCAGGCCCCCTATGGACTTCCCTTGGCAGGTTATGGTGGGCACAACTCAAGGTCAGGGAGGCCCCAACCTGCCCAGTGGCAGGGCCCCTGCCTCTGGACCTGGGACACAGGACATAGCATGTCACAGACACCATCCAGGCTCCAGGATGTGGACTAGACCAGGAGATGCCATGGTCCCCACTCCTTCGTGGCATTTTCTGGCCTCTGCCACCAGTGTCCAGGCTATCCTCAACCCCCCTTCCTGTGTAACACCACATCCGGTCACAATGACCTCCATTCATCAGCCCTCTCTCACCACCAGGCCTCTGCCTAAAACATACTTCCCTATGCCACCTCTGCCTGGCTTGTTGCTACTCAGATCTCTGGTCTAGAAAAGAATTCCTCCTCTAGGAAGCTTTCCAAGCGCCACCTCCCCATAAACTCAGGAAGGGGCTCCTGGTACTAACAGTTGCCCCCTAGGAAGCCTGCACTCCCCTTCAGAGCATGTATTACCCAGCACCATCTTATCACCTCTAGTGCAACTTCCTGACAGACTGTTAGGGACCTCCAGTACCTTGCATGCCGCTCAGGCACTGCAGCCAAGGAGCAGAGGCGAGATGAGGGACAAATGTACATCTGGAATGCTAAGGCAAAGGTGGGCACTAAGCCAACAGCTCTCAACCAGAATCAGTGCCCATCACCTCCAGGGGACATGTGATGTGGAACCCAGGGGATATGATTTATCACAGCCCAGAATGACACTGGCTGCAGAAAGCTGGGGGCCTTGGAGCAGCACTGCACCAAGTCAATGTCCTTCCTTCTTTATGCCTGTGAGTCTCATGATGGCCTTGCCTCTCCCCCACACACCCTGACAAGGAGATCTGGGCCTCCTGGGATGGACTCTGGCCAGTGACACCCTGAATACCCTCAGGCCTTGAGATACCCCAAGCTGCAGTGGCATGACCTGAGACTGTGTTCCCTGCCCCCCTGAATTCTATTAAGGCCAGGAGGCAGGTGCCTCTGCCCCAGGGGTGCCAGCACCTCTCCCTGCTGAGAAGGGGAGAATGGCTGATGCAGCTTCTCATGCTAAGAGGGGTCCTGGGATGTAGAACCTTGCACCTCCACACAGGGGTGCAGGGCACGATGCCACAGAAGGGGGGGTCAGAGACAAGAAAATGGCTGAGCACATGGCCCAGAGCCCCTCACTCAGGAGGCTGTGTGACCCTGGGGCGGTCTTCTAACCTTCCTGAGAACAGCTCCAAACCCACCACTGATGCAATCTTCTGTCTCCAGAAGGCCTCCCAGTGCTGGCTCTATTACTCCCCTCCCCTCCCCCACCCCCAACACTGCAGATTTATGCCTCCTGACCGTCCCGCTTGGTCTCCACCCCAGCACCATCCATTAGCTCTTCCGGAATAACAGACTTAAGTGTTGGGCCTCATTCAGTCAGGGGGTCGTGGCCAAGGGTGAAGGGAAAGGGAAGCTGGTTGAGACAGATCTTCCTGAAATGGCCCTTGGGCAACACCAGTGCTGCAACATATGGTGGGGGGACCTGTGCCCAGGCGGAGGTGCGGGGACACAGAACGGCTGCTCTCAGAACAGCAGCAAACAGACTGCTCTGGGGCCAGGGTCTGTCCCTGGGAAGCCAAGCAACGCATGGGACTGCCTGACAGGACGGGACTCCAGGGGAACACGCCCCCTTCCATGCCCCGTAATGGGGAAAGAGACCGAAGTGGGAGCAGAGGCAGAGCAGGGTGGGCCTCTTTGTTCTGAACTGCCAGCAGAGTAATTCCTGGTGTAGACAGGGGAGCAGACTCTCCGGGAGAATCAGGTGACCGGGGTCCCTCGGGGCTCAGGGCAAAGTGATGCATTGTGGGATGCTAGTGACTGCATGCTCCCCCTGCAGGAAGGAAGCATGCAGTCTGTGCCTGGGAGGGGAGGCCTCTGGTCAGAGTTCAAAGTCACCTCCAGTCCTGTCCCCCCACCAAGCCTGCCTACTGCTTCCCAGTGAAAACTCAGCCTCCCAGTTACAAAGATCTCGCAAGTACCTGGACTGTCAGCTTAACCTTCAGAACCACCCAAACAACCAGATCTCAAGCCCCCAAGCCTGCTGGAGGACCCTTAGGGGTGGGGGGTGTGGATGGGTTCTAGACAGGTTGAGGAGGGGGGAAAGAAAAGACAAGTCATCCCAGACAAACCCAGGAAGGGGCAGGCGTCAAGTACTGCCACACCAACCTCATAACAGATGCTGCTGGGTCACAGGGCTCCCCACCCCCAAGAGAAAAACCTAGTGCCAGAGAATACAGTCAAAGGCAGGGCCTCAGGCTGGGGTGGGGGGCCCTTAGGCTACTTTGAGTTACCAGCAACTTCTTCCTCCACCTCCCTAGAACCAAAACTGCTCCTGTCCAACTTCACAAAGCCCAAGAGGAGTAGGTGTGCACCCCCCCTCCCCTTTCTCCCTGCCAGTCTCCGGAATGGGATAAAGGGGGCCGGTTGGCATTAGGCTGGAGCTGAAGTCTGTGTGGAGAGAAACACCAGGGTCTCTTGGGCAAGCAACACAGGATACTGGATCAGCAGGGTGGGAGGGAGGAAGCGGGAGGTCAAGGACCCAGCATGCAGCAGGGAGTCTACAGATGTGGGGGGATCGAAGGGGAGATGAGGATAGTTCATGGCAGGAGCCACAGTTCTGGCACAGGCTCAGAGCACCGCAAGGCCCCAAAGGGATGCTAGGATGTCAGTTCCAGGGGTCAGGGGCCTTAGTCGGCTCGCTGCTTTGCCCCAGGATGGCCACCCACCCCACAGGCACTCAAAGACTAACTGCATCAGTAAACGAACAGATGGATAGAGATGCAGGAGGAAGAGGACACAATGTGAAGGGTCTCCAGAAACATTCAATGACCTGGTACAACCCAGGGTCAACAGAGGGCAGAGCTCTCCACCCAGGAAGCTGACACTCATCCCTGGTCAGTGTCACCGAGGTGCTGGGGAGGGATGGGGGCCTTGCACACAGCTGGTACTCAATGAATGGAAGGACAAAGAACTGAGCAGAGGAAACTTGGAACGCTGGCATTACCTCCCCCAGCCCGTAATGTGCCTGCCTCCTGGGAGGTCACCTAGTAACTCCTGATTGGCCGGCCGACCTGTAGTTACCAACCTGAAGCCACTGACCAAGGTTCCTCCCGAAGGCCACCTGCCAGGAAATAAGCCTTTTAGGGGGAAGGAGAAAGGTCAGGTACAAACTTCTAGACCCTTTGCCACAGGGAGCAGGAATGCAGGAGCCATCTCTCGGGTGGCCCCTGGTTCACCTGCCTCCTGATGGTGCGGCCTGGCGTAGCCCCCTTGAGGACACTCAAGCAGTCTATGCAGAGATCCATGTGGCAAAAACTGGGGTCCTTGGCCAACAGCCAGCAAAGAACCGGTGCCCACCAGCAATTATGTAAGCCCACTCCACCCCCAAACTCTACTGCAACGGGCAACCAGAAGAGGCAGCCCTGGCCACCAACTTGGTTGTGATTTCATAAGCGAGTCCAGAGCCAGAAGTGCCCAGCTAGGCTCACACCTTGGAAACTGAAAACTAACTAACAGCTTCTTTGAGCTACTGGGTTTGGGGGTAATTTGTTATAGGGCAACAGTCACTAATACAAAAATCCAAAGGTGATTCTTTGTGTTTCCTGAGGGACAAGCCCCTGCCATCCCATAACCCCTGGGGCTGCCCAGAAAGCAAGCAGGGTCCTTTCCTGGCTGGCCTCAAACACTATGAGAACCCAGGGGGCAGGAGCCCGTGGGGGAGGGAGGGAACTCACCCAGCTCTGTCGGCTTCAGCAGCTCGTCCAGCATGTTAAAGAAGGGCAGTTTCACCAGGCGGACTTCTGGCTTGAGGGTCTTGGTGGGCAACCGTCCGAGTCCGTTTAAGTACTTCCCATAAAGGACAGGGTAGTCAATATTGGGGCCTGTGAGAGGAGTCCTGGGCACTGCGCCAGCCCGGTCGTAGGTTGAGTGCATGGTCAGGGGGTCCAGGGGCCGGTGGGGCTGAGGGACGGGCTCCGAGTTCTTCTTGGCGTAGCGTGTTTCGTAGAGTTCCTTGATCTTCTTGAAGAGCTCAGGGCTACAGTCAAACTGGACCAGCTGCAAGGCCCGGGTGACAAGTTCGTGCTTAAGTCCGCTCTTACTCCGACCAACGAAACCCAGGAGCATCTGAAGATCGGAGACTCGGAAACTCATCACCATGTTCTGGAGAAGAGCAACCACAGACACCGCTAGAGGAGGCAGTCAGAGTCAGGGGCAGCCAGCGAGGCGCGGAGGCTTCTCTGCAGCCTCCTGGCCCTGACTAGGGGCAAGGCAAAGTGAGACCCGGGCGGCAACTACCCAGCCCCACCCGCGCCCCTCTTCACTTCTAGGGTCAGTGCACGTCTCACTGGGCCCCACCTCCCTGCCTCCGACCTGGCTGCCAGCTTACCCATCCACGCGGGGCCCCTCCTAGCTCAGTCCTGCGCCCTTCCTCCTCCTCCAACCTTCCCAGCATTGCCAACGCAGCAAAAACTCCTGACTACCCCCACCGCCTTCTATTTTAGGTTCTCTTCTCCCATCTTCAAGCCTGAAAGCTACCCCAGAGCGGGAACCAGGAACAGTGCTTTACCCAGAAACAGCTTCTGCTACTCCCCAGCTAGGAACACGGGTCGCCTCTCTGACCCTCAGTCTCTTCGTCGGGGGAACGACAGGCTCCATGTCACAACGGCATGGGGCGATCAGAGAAGGGAACCCACCTAGCACAGGGCGTACGCCTACCAGCACTGGCCACGAACACGTCTTCCCTTCGGCCCAGGGATGGCAGCCACAACCACCTACCACCACCCGCCTGCCGGGGACTAAGCTGGATGTGTGATTACACACTTCACTTTGCTCCTTGAAACAGCCCTGCCGGGTTGGTGTGAAGTCCACTTACAGCCGAGATTCGACCCCAGGCCTGACCCCGAAGCAGGGGTGGTTTTGAGTCTACTATGCCCCTTCCTGGATCGACCCCCAGATGGGCACGATTGAGGCCATCAAAATGTCTGCTGCTCACTCCATCCGGCTCTCCCCCCCACACATGTGGGCAACGGGCTGGATCATTCTGTGGGAGAATGTCCTGAGCACCATAGGGTGTCTAGCAGCACCCCTGGCCAACCCCCAAACCTCAGCTGTGACCACCACAAATGTCCCCCAAACATCATCCAGTGTTCTCTTGGGGCAGGATCAGCTCCAGCTGAGAACCATGGCTCTGAGGTGGCAGCCCTGGGGCTCCTCGGCACCAGAGGCCGTGAGTACGCTGCAGGAATGTGAATAGGTCCGACAGGGTCTGGCACTTAGTACCTGGCAGGGTCCCTCCAGGCCCAGGTTAATGCCAATGTATTCTTTAGGGTTGTCTGGTGGTGTGGCCTGATCTCCACAAGACTCTGAGACACTAAGGGGAAAGAAGGTACCCCCAAATACGTCATAAGCTAAATGTTCTTGAGGGTTTCTGGGCCACCTACACTGAGCCCTGAAGTTGGCCCATGATGAATGAAATGTGGTGAGAAAAAGAAACTTCCAGGGAAAATGGGGTAAAAAAACTGCACAAGTAATGAGAGTGATTATGGAAAGCTGGCGAGGACAACACCCAAAGAAGCCAATAAATCACTTAAACTCAACTTGAAAGAGCCTGATGCTCACAGGAGAGCGGAAGCCCGGCTAGGGTGTTTACATATTGACCTCCATGCCAGGAGGCGCTGGTGTTCCTGGTCTTCTGGCTGCTTAAGAATGAGGCATGGAGTCTGACAGTGGCCCCCAGGGCTCTGGGCCCTGGGTCCAAGTCCAGACTCTGTTCTGGGTCCCCAGAAGACCCTGGGTCCCCTGTCAGGCCTCTCTGCACTTTGGGCTCATCATCTGCTGGCACAAGATGGAAAAATCTGAGATTCCTTTTAACTGTACAGTGCCAAGATCCTGCAGAAGGATCTGTGCTCTGTCCAAGCACAAAATGACAGAGACAAATGTATACGGCTGCCAAGCCTTGCCTGCACAACTTCAAGGGGAGCCTTCACCTGCTCCTTCGAGCAGCTGTGGGGTGTCTGCCACACACCCAGCACCACAAGGCCCTTCACCATGACGGGTCTCACGAGTACCCATGCCCATCATGCAGGTGAGGAAGCAGAGGCCCTGAGAGGAAAGCAGCTGGCCCAAGGCATCCCTGCAGGACAGCAGCAGAGCCAGCATTCTAACCCAGGCCTACCAGGCTCCTAGTGGCATTTTATTCCACTCAAACCAGCTGTCGGGGGACCCTATGCCCCATGCCCAGGAAACTAAGGGGTCTGGTGGCAATGCAGAGTCCCCAACATTCCTAAAACAAAGAAGCTTCACCTCCCTCAGCCTCCTACCTAGAGCAGAGAAAAAAAGCTTGCAGACAAGATGTTTCTTCTGGAAGAGGCCCAGGGACTCAGAGGGGAGAAGCGATGTCATGTGGACGCTAAGCATCCACAGTGAGCTAAGGCAGGTGAGTTCAGCTTCTCTGACCACAACAGCTCTCTGACATCAACCCACGCCTGGAAACCCCCAATTCCACTGGGGCCTAGCCCCTTCTACCAGGTGGGACATCCTAAGCTGCCAACAAGCATCCCACAGCACACCCCTCAAGTTACCATATGTTTCCGACTCAGATTTCTCAGCAGCTGCCACCAAAGAGTCTGCCCTTGACACTAGGCAAGGGCGGGTGGGGCCTTCGAGGGAGCCACAGACATTCAGGAAGAAGCCCCAAGCACTTGGCACATCACTTCCTGCCCTGGTATATCCCAACCTGCTTGTTATAAACAGCACCTGCCAGAGTCTTAACCTGGGGCTTGCTCTGGAGCTGTGTGAAGCAGCACAGGCTCCTCTGAGGCCTCTGAGCACTGGAGAGACTAGAGCCACCCTCTCCAGAAACTCAAGGTCTATGCAAAACAGTATCACACAGGGGTCACAGATTGGCCCCCAAGCCTTCTCAGGGGCCTCAGGTTAAGAGTATCAGACTTCCCTGTTTACCAACAAACAAGACCACATGTTCTGCCCTCAGACCAGTCCATTTTGCACCCTAAAAGACAAACCCTCTAGCTCTTGATATGAGGTGGGAAAATACATTAAAAAGGGGATCTCTCAATTGCACATTAGGCACTCTGAAGTGAAAGCATGAAAATGAAGGACAAAGAAGAGTCCTTAGTGTAGGAGTGAATTGTGCTGCCATCCTAAGCCCCCCTGAATGGAGGCTCACATTTTAGTTAAGTTGTAGAAAGGGTTGACTTGATTTAATTGGGGTGGGGGCACCCAGTCACCAGAGGGTCAAAAAGAGTTCATCAGATCATATTTCAAGGCAGGCCCTGAATTGTATAAGGAGTGCATCCTTGCGCTCTGGCTGGGGTGGGGGTGGGACACAGACTTGCAGCCCCACAGAGGAGGTTAAATTTCAGGGCTCCGAGGAATTGAGACCTGTCCTTAGACTTGTAGAGCTCAGACCTGCACATCTCCAGGGCAAGTCTCAATTTATCACAACTCTAGAGAGAGTGTGTGTACAGTAGGTAATGGGGAGTGGGGAGGTCTAGAGGAGGCAGGACAATACCACAAGATCACAGAACCCTGAAGGCTGCATTTCAGATCCCAGCAGGAGGGAAGGGAGTATTAGGAGAGTGAGGAGGGAGGGAAAGAAAACATTTACAGATCAGGACTTTGGTGAGAGGTTGGTGTCTTCATTCTTCAAGGGGAGACCCCCCACTTCCTGAGAGCAGCAGCTTGAGTCAACTTCACAGGGAAGAACCATAGTGCACTGAGGGGCTTGGGTTCTGAAGCCTCACCTGCATGGAAGGAACCTGGGAGAAAGTACATCCCTCGCAGGGGACAGCATCTGTAGGACAAGGAACTGAACCCCAAACTGGAACTTGGGGAGAGGCACCAGGAGCTATCCGAAACAAAGAAGCCTACTCTGGAATCAGTAGGAAACCCTCCAAGGATCAATATACAAGAGATTGGCAGGAAAAAAGGGGAGAGGCTCAGAAATCATATCAGGGAGACATACAAGGATCTAAAGCAGAGGTTCTGGAAGTTATGGTGGGAAGCCCAAATAATAGGGGAGAGACAGCTGGCATGGGGTATGATCCTGCCAGCATGGATTCAGAGTCCCCACGAGTGGAGTCCAAAACCTCACAGGCCCTGTCCTCGGGAAAGAGAAGGAAGAAGGCAAAGCCCAGGACCAAAGACTGAGATGAAAGAATTAGCAAGAACTTCAGACCAAGAACATGGGTCAGGGCTCCATGGTGGTGGGGGCCAAGCTCAGCTAACACGGCTTACTTCGGGGTGAGAGAGTGGGTGCCAAGAGGGGGCGGGGTTCTGGGACCAACGCGGTAACAGAACAGGGCTGGGTTCGAAACCGAGTCTTGAGGGACAGACCACCCACACACACAGGACACTCAGTATCTGAGGGCGGTTCATCACCCTGGAAGGTGGAAGAAGGGCCGGGGGGCCCTTATGAGCAGGGAGTCGACAACCCCAGCGTGGCCTGCTGGGCGGGGAGGCTGAGATCCAGACACCAACCATGGATGGCGGAGAGGTGCAAACACTCCCCCAGATAGGAGACTACTGACCCCCGCTCAAGACGAGCAGAGGACGGGCCGCCCAACCCGTCGTGCTCTCCTGGGGTACAGTGTCTCAAGCTGGGAGGCGCGGCCCAGTCCCGGTGTTTCGAGTGAACCGGACCCTAACCGCTCCGGCTGGAGGGGAAGGAAGCCCCGCCTCAAGCCCGGGGGCTGATCCTAGCAACTAAGGCTGGGGTGAGGTTTGGGGGGCCCCGCCCCCGGTCTCCCCGCCCCCCCGCCCGCACCCGGAGCCCAGGAGACGGGGGCGGGCAGGGAGCTGGGCGGCGAGACTCTGGCGGGCTGCGCCGCGGGGCCACAGGTTGATGGCGCAAACCTCGGCCCGCCCTTCGGCCCCAGTCCCCTCGTCCGACCGCGCGGGCCGGCGCCGCCGCCGTTCACTCACTTTAGCCTCCACCAGCTCCGCCGCCATCTTGGCCACCAGCGTCCCCCGCGCCGGGAGCCCCCAGCCGTCGCGTCACGTGACCGCCCGCCACTTGAGGGCGGGGTCGCAACCGCGGCCAATAAGCAGTCACGCGCCCTCCTTCCTTCTCCCTAGCCTCCGCGCGCGCTGCAGCGCACTACGCAGGCGCGCTCGACCTCCGCCCGGACCGGGGACCAATCAGGACTCCCCGACACCGTCCCCCTCCCCGCTCCGCTCGCGGCGACCACGCCCACCCCGGGCAGCGTCCAGTTTTCTTAAAGGGACACGAGCCCCACCAGGTGAGGGCGGGTGCTGGACCTGGCCTTTAGCCCGAACGAGGTTGGGGGCGGAGACGGCGATCACTATGTGCAGCCAGGTGCCCTGGCCCCTGCGTGAGGCGGCTGCCAGGTGCGCGACACCGGATGCCCGGCGGCGTCGGGGGAGGAGACGGTTACTCAGCCCAGCTGCCGCCAGTGCGTGAAGTGCAGCGCGGCGCCGCGCAGTGTAGCCTCCGGGGACTCAGCGCGCCGGCACTGCACATCCGGGTCCCGGCACTGCGCGCACTGCCTGGCCCCGGCCTAAGAAATACTGGCTCCCGCCCTCCCTGCCTGCGGCTCGCGCGGCCCACATTCCTCCCAGCCCCCTCCCGCCCCCGCTGGTCCCACCTCTGCGCCCGCCGTGAGCCGCTGGAATCTGCACCAACCGGACCCCCCCAGCCCAGCCCTCAGAGGCTCCCTAGTGCCCACCGCAGACTGAGGCGTTCAAACTGTGTCAAAAGCTGGAAACTAGAGAACAAAAAGGGATATCCCAGGGCCCGTTCCTATGAGATCATAATTCGCAGGGCAAAATGAGGTGAGAGCTAATTTTTTTAAAGGAATTTATTATTTAAAGATTTATTTTTGTACAAGAACCGGGGTACAGGTCAGAGGCGTGGGGGGGGGTGAGAGGATCCACCAGAGACAGAGCGGGGAGCAGAACCGGCAGACTGACGAAGTACACAGCCGAGGGGAGCAGCGGGTGCGGCAGGAGAGGTCTGCCGCGCCCTGTGGGTATCTCCTCAGCCCGCTGGGATCCAGCCGGCACCGCAGAGGCTGAGGACAGCTTCACCTGGGCTCAACCGCCTGCACCACCAGGGAGGCCCTGAGATATAATTTTGATTACACAGTAATGAAGACCAGCGCGTTATTGCAGATTTTTTATCCTAAAAATTCATGCCTCAGCAGACTTCTCCTGTCTCGCCGCTGCTCCCCTCAGCAGTGTATTTCAGTAGATGGGCCTGTTCTGCTCCCCACTCTGTCTCTGGTGAATGCGCGCCCTCCCAACCCCAACTCTGGCCTACAAGCCAGTTCTGGTATGCATAAATAATTTTTTCAAATCTTTAAAAATTTTTTTTTAAAATAAAAATTCATGCCCCCCCCCAAAAAGAGTTAAAGGTGTGATAGTTGTATTATGTTTTTATTTATTTAAAAAAAAGTTTTTTTAGATTGATTTGTTTTTAAAAAATATTTATTTATGCTCACAAGAGCTGGGGTACAGGCCAGAGATGCGAGGGGGAGGGGGGGAGGATTCACCAGAGACAGAGTAGGGAACAGAACAGGCAGACTGACTGAAATACACTGCTGAGGGGAGCAGTGGGCGAGACAGGAGAGGTCTGCTGCACCATGTGGGTTTCTCCCTGGCCAGCTGGGAATCAAACTCGTGCTGCAGAGGCTGTGGATTGCTTCATAGTGCGGTGCTTAATCCCTTGCACCACCAGGGAGGCCCTCGATTTATTTTTATACAAGAGCTGGGGTACAGGCTAGAGGCACAGGAGGGTGAGAGGATTCACCAGAGACAGCAGGCAGCAGAACAAGCAGAAGGACTGAAGACACTGCAGAGAGCTGCTGCACCATGTGGGAACCTCCCTGGCTGACTGGGAATTGAACTGGCGCTGCAGAGAGTTTCACAGTGTGGTGCTCAACCCGCTGCATCACCGGGGAGGTCCTATTTTTTTAATTTTTTAAAGATTTATTTATGCACAAAAGAGCTGGGGTACAGACCATTGGTTTGAGGGGGTGAGAGGACTTAACCAGAGACAGCACAGAGTGGGGAAACAGAACAGGCAGACTGAAATACAACGCTGAAAGGAGCATTGGGCGAGACAGGAGAGGTCTGCTGCTCTATGTGGGTAGCTCCCTGGTCTACCTGGGATCAAACTTGTCCTTCAAAGGCTGTGGATAGCTTCATACTGCTGTGTTTAAGCCCTTGCGCCACCAGGGAGACCCTTCGCTGTTTTTAAAAGTAATCTGTGAAATAAAATATATGAGTGGGCGTATTTGTGAAAGAAATTATATAGAATTTGCTTTAAAACAATGGGGATCGGGCCTCCCCGGTGGCGCAGTGGTTGAGCGCTGGGTTGCGAAGCTGCCCGCAGCCTCTGCAGCGCAGGTTCGATCCCCGGCTGCTGGGCAAGGGTCCCACATGGCGCAGACCTCTCTGCCACGCCTGCAGCTCCCCTCAACAGTGTACTTCATCAGTCTGCCTGCTCTGCTCTCCCCTCTGGCTCTGGTGAATTCTCTCACCCTCCCACACTTTTGACTGTACCCAGTGCTTGTATAAATCAGTCAATCAATCAATCTTTTTTAAAAAAAAAAACAATGGGGATCAACTCTTGGGTATAGACTCAGAAGTGGGATTGCTGGACTATATGGTGATTGTATTTTAAATTTCTTAAGAAGCCTCTATACAATTTAACACAGTGGCTGCACCATTTTACAGTCCCACCACCGTGCACAAGGTCTTCAGTTTCTCCACATCCTCACCAACATTTGTTCTTGTTACTTTATATTTTGTTCGTTTTTTTAAAATAATAGCTATCCTAGTGGGCGTGAAATGGTACCTTACTGGATTTTTTTTTTTTACGATTTATTTATTTGTGCATACAAGAACAGGGTCTAGGCCAGGGGGTGGGGGCGGTGAGAGGATTCACCAGCGACAGAGTGGGGAGCAGAACAGGGAGACAGACCAAAAGCACTGCTGAGGGGAGCAGCGGGAGAGACAGAAGAGTCTGCTGCACCATGTGGATCAGCTCCCTGGCCTGGGATCAGACTCATGCTGCAGTGGCTGGCAATAGCTTGATAGGGCTGACACTTAACTTCTTGCCCCACCAGTGAGGCCCCATGATGTTCCTGTTCATATGATGAAAAAACATGGTTCTGGGGTACGTTATCCTGGGTTTAAACACAAACTTCGGGACCTATGTGCTATTGGACCATGGGTGGGTTATTTAACTTCTTTCTTGGAGCCTCATTTCGTCAGCATTAAGGTGGGGCAGGAGCAGGGAGGGAATAGTACTTTGGTTATCTAAAACTGCCAAACAAATGACCACAAAGTTGGTAGCTTAAAACAACATTCGGGGCCTCCCTGGTGGCACGAGGGGTTAAGATGCAACCTATGAAGCTATCTGCAGCCACTGCAGCATGAGTTCAATCCCCGGCCGGCCAGGGAGTAACCCACATGGTGCAGCAGACCTCTCCTGTCTCACCTGCTGCTCCCCTCAGCAGTGTACTTTGGTCAATCTGCCTGTTCTGTTCCCCACTCTGTCTCTGGTGAATCCTCTCACCACCCCCCTCCCGTGCCTATGGCCTGTACCCTAGCTCTAGTATGCATAAATAAATAAATCTTTAGTGAAAAAAACCCACAACATTCAACATTTGTTATCTCGCCCAGTTTCTGTGGGTCAGGAATTTGCAGGTGGCTTAACTGAGTGTTCTAACTTGGAGTCTCTCATGAGGTTGTAGATAGGATGTTGGACAGAGTGGCTATCACCCAAAGGGTTAACTAGAATTAGAAGAACTGTTTCCAGTGTGTTTTGATCACATGGCTATTGGCAGGAAGCCTCAGTTCCTCACCACAGAGTTGCTTGAGCATCTTCCCAGTGTGGCAGTTGGCTGCCCCCCAAGAGATGATCCCGGAGGAGCAAGGAGGGAGCCATGATGTCTTCTCTAACTAGCCTCAGAAGTCAGAATCCACTGATTGAGAAAGGACAAATCTCTAGGTTATTAAGCTGTGTGGGTAATAAAACCGATTATAAAACTTCACATGCTTTATAATTCCATTAATAGAATATTCTTGATGACAAAATTATAGAGCTGGAACAGAGATTAGCAGTTTCCCAGGGTTAGGGCAGGGTTGTGGGGCGTGCAGTTGGTGTGAAAATACAGAGATAGCAGGAGGCAGATCTTTGTGGTAATGAAATAGCTCTGTATTTTGATTACAGTGGTGGCTTATAGAATCTGCACAGGTG